AACAACAAACATGCAAAAAGAGAAAAAAAATATTACAGAACCAAAAATGGGGAAAAAAGAAGAAGAAACGACATCAACAAAAAAAAAAAAAAAAGAATTTTGATAGTAAAAAAGAAAATGAAAGATCTTTATGGAAAGATTGTTTAACGCAAAATTTCCTGGATCGATCCATATATAGAATGTGTGTTTGTGTGTGTGTGTGATTCTGTTTACACATATATAGATGCCAAACAATTTACTCAAAGAAGAAAAGAAAAGAAAAAGAATATGCATATATAATTGGATCATCACTGTTTTTTTACAATGTAGAACCGATTGAACAAAAAAAAAAATTCTTTGCTGAAACTGACGCCTGCGTATTTCTATATTTTCTCTTTCTTTGAATTCTAGTCCAGTTTTCTTTCTCTTCTTGTTGTTTTTCTTTTCCAAATGATAACAGATTCTATAGGATTCTTGCAATCTTTTTTTTTACATTTCACATCTTTAGCTTTTTTTTTCTTTCAAATTATTATTATTATCATTATTATTCTGGTTGGTACGTCGACTATATTTTCTTCTTCTTCTTCTTCTTTGGTTTAGGAAATGTGAAATAAAGAAAAACGAAACGAAAGAATTCTGGTTTACTTTATTCTGCTTGATATTATTTGATTGGATTGTTGTTTGTGCGTGTGTGTATATGTCATTCATGTGCATTTTCGTTTCGTTTCGTTTCGTTTTTATTTTTGGTTTTATATGATCCTGGAACAACAACAAGAAAAAAAAGGAAACCATCATCATTGTTGTTGTTGTTGTTGATGGAAGCTATGTGTATGGTTTGATATTTCATTTTTTTTCTTCATCAATGTTCCCCCCACCCACCACCACCACCAAAAGAAAAAAAAGTGTTTCAAGAATTGGCTGATGATGATAATAAGAATGAGTAGAATGAGTTTGTCCTATAGGACATAATAATCACCACTATATGATGATGTTTTCCAAACAACAATGCTACTATTTAACTAAAAGCATCTATGCATCTGCAATACATCCACTTACACTTGCTTACACAATACACACACACACATTACATAATCCCATATAGTTTTGGTATCCGAACGAAAAAAAAAACAAAAACATTTTGAATAATCAAAGAAACAAAACGAAAATGTTACGATCTAAATGTAAATCTATGTAAATAATGATGATTGTAGAAACTCGGTGAACAACAAAAAAAAAAAAAAAATATTATTATTATTCAAATGAATTCAGCATATGAAAAAAAATGAAAAAAAAAAAAAACCCAAAAACAAAAACATTTTGAATAATCAAAGAAACAAAACGAAAATGTTACGATCTAAATGTAAATCTATGTAAATAATGATGATTGTAGAAACTCGGTGAAAAAAAAAAAAAAAAAAAATATTATTATTATTCAAATGAATTCAGCATATGAAAAAATATGAAAAAAAACAACAACCGAATAGCAAATGGAAAAAAACGTGTCGAAAAGTCTATTAATTCTTTTTTTTTCTTTGTTTTATTTGGCTAAAATAAAATTTTCATTGTTTTATGCGTTCACATACACCCATATTCATCGAAAAAAAAAGTATAGACACGCATAGACAAACACACACACACACACACACACACAATATTGTTTGATACAAAAGATAATCATATCATATTGGATCATTTTTCTCTTTCCTTTCCTTTTCTCATCAAAACAAAAAACAAACTATATAATCAAACTAAGTAGAATAATATTCAATATATATCAAATCTAAGGAAAGATTTTCATTATTTCCTTTTTTTGATCTTTTTTTTTTTTGTTTTGTCCTTTGCTTTGGTCCGTTACAATCATCATCATTATGACATTAAAATCAACAATCTTATAACAACTAAGACGGCTTATAAGAAAATAACGATAGTCATTTGTTTTGTTGGTACTTTACTTCATCTTCAATACCTTTTTTCTTTTTTGTTTGTTTCGGATTAACATTTTTCTTTATTCGGATGTTAATATGATTAACGGAAACTATTGGAAAATAATGTTACAAATTAATATCCATTCAAGTTCATTTTATTTTTTATATTTTTTCCAACAAATAAAAAAAAAGTTTAATATAAAAATCAATTATTTTAATTTTTTAAAAACCAATATTTTTAAATGCAAAAATATAATTGTTAAACAAATGGTTGTTACACATCAAAAGAAAAAGTTGAAGTTGAAAAAAATATTAGCTTAAACATATGGATTTGAAATTTTTTCATGAAGAAATTTATATTTCATTAAAATATTCATAATATCCAAAAATTCTTCTTCAGAATAATTTTTCAAATATGTTTGTGATACAAATAATTTACCATTCAATCGTGAAAATGCTTGTCTTGTTGAATTAATTGCATATGATAATGGTAATGGTTGATTTTTAACATTAAAACTTTCTGTAAATAAATAACAAAGAAAGTCGGTAATTTGTGCCAATGTTTGAACGGTTAATTTTGCTGTATTCATTTTGATAATACATTCAACACATTTCATTGATATTGCCTATCATAGATTAAATTGAGACAGAAAAATTATAAAATGATATGATTTTTCAAATAAAAATAATAATTATTCTATTATTCTATTACCTTTGAATTTTCAAACGATGAATTATGACAAAGAATGAATCCATTTTCATTAAAAATTTTTTCATCTTCAATTAAATATGAATAACGATTACAATCAGGTTTTCCAAACATTTTACCGGGTATATTGGAAGGTAAAACAATATTAATGATTACCCATTTGATTGATTCAGTTTCTTGATGAAATATTGATAGATCACATAATTTTTCAATCTGAATAAAATCCTTATCATTTTTTTCATTATAATAAAGAATAACTGTTTTAGGCATTCGTTGAAATCGTTCTTTATATTTACAAATGATTAAATACATTTGTTGACGTAATCGATTGAAATTTTGTATTTTATCAATTATATGAGCTTCATCATATAAAATATATTTATGATCTTTAGATGATACAATTGACATAATAAAATATGTTTTGCCTTGAATTTGTTGCGATGTACAATTGACAGCCATAAAAATTGAATCATTTGAATCAATGAAACCATTAATATTCCAATATTCTTCAGTAATATTGATTGGAAATTCACCTAATCGATGGCTCATTTTTATGAATAAACTTTCATCAAATTCGATTGTATTGTAAAAATTTTTTGTTTTAAATATCTGACATGGTATACCGAATTTACAAAGACTTAAATATTTGATTATATCATGGCCAGACATACCGTTGATTTTGAAATCTTTTGAAAAAGAAAAAGAAGAAAAAATGGAAAATTAAAATTCATCAAAAATCAAAATTTTTAAAAAACAAAACAAATCTAACAAACATGACACACCTTCAGTTATGCCAAAAAGTACATAATCAACATCGAATCTAATTAAATTGGAAAAAATATTTTCCAATTCTTCAATATTTATACATTTGATTAGTTGAGTGAATAAACAATCATCCATTTTGAATTTATATTCAATAGCTTTTTCTTTAAAAGAATTGACAAATTTTTTTAAATTTAAAAAATATTCATCCATACACAATACTATCCATCGAATTTTTCGTTCAGGATCGGGAAAATTAAATTTAAAATTTGGAAAAATTTTCGGCATTTTTAATGCTTTAGTTTTTATCAAATAATTTTTAAATTTAATTCCATATTTATTTATATGATCTGAATGTGATAAATTAACTTTTTTAATAAAATCCTTGATCGTCATGTTACCATAATATTGTTCAATCAGTTTAGTTTCATCATGTTTTGATCGATTGGGATTTTCGTTGAATGAAAATCTTCGTTGTATCACAAAAAGCGTTTGTTGAAAATCAACTTGAAAAGCTAAAAGATAATTTTTTCCTTTATTTGTTGTAAAATCAAATGTCAAACAGATGGCATTGTTTCCTTTACTTTCAATAAAAATATAGCCAGAAACACGTTGACGTCCTATTCCAAAAACAAATCGTAAAAATCTTAATGGTATTATTGATGTTTCAGCAAAATTTTTATAACATTTTTCAAAAACAAAATTAACAATCGTTTCTTCATTGATCGATATTGAAAATGAATTGTTTAATTTTTTGATTGTATAAAGTTTTTCATCTTGCATATAGGCAAAATATTGTTTATTTCTTGGTTGATTGAAAAATTGGCTGATTTTTTTCTGATTGTTAATTTGTTCATTTTTTGAATTGTTGTTGTTGCTGTTGTTTAAATAGCTCATTGAATATTCAAAAATTTCACGATTTTCAAATTCAATTTGAAAATAATTTGATTCAATATATAAATTATCAATAATTTCATCATCATTATCATTATTATTAATGATTTTTTTCAAATCATTTGATTGATTGAAATTCAATTCAGTAATTTCTTTATTATTTTTGAACATGATGATGTTTTTCACTCTTTGTTGTTGTTGTTGTTGTTTGTTGATGTTGTTGATGGCAAAATGTTTTTGTTTTGTCTGACCGAAACCAAAACAAAAAAAATTGTTTGCTAACCAAACACACACACACATTGAACATTCGAATCTTTTTTTTTTGCATTTCGAATACATAACCCCAACAACCAACATGTTGCGCCATAAAGAAAACAAAAAAAAAACATCTTTCTAAAGTAGTAGTGGTATACATTTATAATGCATGGTGAAATAATCAGAAGAAGAAAAAATCCTAACAGTTAATCCAAAGTAAGAAAAAGTGAGTGAGCGGGATATTTGTTAGGGTATTTTCGTTCGAAAAAAAAACAAAAATTTCTAAATTTTTAAAAATTAAAAATTTTCTTTTTGGCTAATTGAACTTTTGATATTTCCATTTTCAAAAAAAATATCATTATCTGTCAATAATAATGATAATTTATGAATGAAGAATATTTGTCGCCCAAAAAAACAAAACCATTAAAAAAATAGAATAGTTTTAGTCGTCATAATTATGTGTTCGTTTGATCTTTCTTTCGTTCGTTTTTGTTTAGAATACCCGATACGATCGATTAATTTTTTCTTCTCATCATCATCATTTTCACCTGTCTATATTTTCTATTATTATGTTTTTTTTTTGTTTTGCTTTTTAGAAAATTCCAAACAATCAAGTGGGGTGTATGCACTGAATTCAATTCCAAAAAAGAAAATAACATTGTTATCACAAATGATCATGATTTTTTTGTTATCAAATGCCAAGCCCTTCACTAAAATAATTCTTGATTCTGTTTGTATGGTTGGTTTTTGTGCACTATAGTTATTTTGCAGACACAATCATTTAGTTGGACGAAGAAAGAAAAAATCATTCAAGAAATATTATTTTTCTCTTCTTTTGAATTCGAATTTGACATTTTTTAATAATAGTATTTGATGACAACAATGGATAGATAAAAAAAATCATATCATATCATATCATTTTGTAACAAGAAAATCAAAATTTTTTGTAGCTAATTAATGTATGTGCGGAACCAAAAACGAGAATAAAAAATATAAAGGAACTTGGAACTTGATGATTTTCTGCTGTTGTTGTTGTCGGGTGATAACAATCGGTGATAATCGATTTTTTTTCTTTTCCTTTCGACGATCCATTTATCGCAAGCACAAATCAATTTGTTTCTTCTTCTTCTTCTTCGTAATTTTATTAAAACACAAACGTTGTTAATTACATTGTTGTTGTTGTTTTTTTTTAAAAAAAAAAATAATGGAATGATGTTGGTTAATTAAAAAAAAAACAAAACAGAAGAATAGATTCATGATTGATTAAGCTCCTGATAACAATGATCACAAACACGAACTGGTTTTGGATGTCCAGTCATTTGTGCCTGTTTAGATGAACATTCATTACAGAATATATTTCCACAACTACGACAATGATGCTAAAAGAATAGTAAAAAAATCGAAATTTTTAGTTTTCTTATTGAATTTTTTTTTTTTTTTTTGGTTCGTTAATTACCTTTCGTATAAAAGTTGTAAATTGTTTTTGACATTTATCATTTTGACATTTATCCACTGTACGATCATCAGTCNCCACAACTACGACAATGATGCTAAAAAAAAAGTAAAAAAATCGAAATTTTTAGTTTTCTTTTTGAATTTTTTTTTTTTTTTTTTGGTTCGTTAATTACCTTTCGTATAACAGTTGTAAATTGTTTTTGACATTTATCATTTTGACATTTATCCACTGTACGATCATCAGTCCATGATCGTCTTAATTTATTATTTGCTTCATCCAAACGTATTTGTAATGTTTGATTTTGTTCACCTAATTCTTGTACTGCTTTTGAATTTTCTTCACATTTTTTAACAAATTGTTTCATTTCATTTATTGTTCCATCAAGCTGTTCTTCGGCCGTTGCACAACGTTCCAATAAAGCTCTTTTTTCTTCCATAAATGTTGATAATTCAATTTCTAATTTAAGTTTTTCTCCTGAAAAAATATTAATAAAAATTAATCAACAAAAACTATATCCAAATTTTCAATATATACCTAATATTTGATCATGATATTTTTGTAAATTATCAAATCGTGCACGTTCTTTTTCAATTTCGGCCAATAAACTTTGTCTTGTTTGTTGTAATTGATCAATTAATTTTTGATTTTCTTTTTCTTTCATACGTAATGTTAATAAATCATTTTTTGTTGATTCTATTAATGATTTTAATGATGATTCGGATTTGATTAATTTTTCCAATTGATTCTGTTTATCGGGCAATATTTTCTTGGTTATTTCATTATTTTCATTTTTTAATAATTCTAATTGTTTTGTTAAGGCATCAATTTTTTCCATATAATTATTCTAATTATTAAATGTAAATGTAACAATCAAAAATCAAAAAACAAAAACAAAGAAAAAAAATTACTCACTTGAATTGAAATAAACATAACGGTAAAATCATTTTCTAATAATTCAACACTTGTTTTCATCTCTGGAATCGTTGTTTCTTTTAAATTTTCATTCAAATCTTTACAGGTATTTTGTAACCAATTTAATGATGATTTGATTGTTAAACATTTATCCCGTAAAGAATTACGAAGTGTCACCAAATCTGAACTGATTTTTTTCAATGATTGCATTTGATCATCAAATTTCTTTTGATATTCATCATGTTGTCTATTTAAATTCATTTTCAATTCTTCAACATTCATTTCAAGTTGTGATCTTGTATCCATTAATGTTTGTATCATTTGTTCACGTTCAATTGTTTCTTGTTGTGATTTTTTCAATTTTTCAAGTGCTACTTCATATTTTTCATTGAATTTCAAATGTTTTTGTTCATTTTGATTGATTATCGATTCTAATTGGCTATTCTTTTCTTTAAGTTGACAATTTTCTTGATTGATTCGTTCAATTTCATTGTTTATCTCATTTTTTTCCTTTATTAATAAACGAATTTGTTGATTTTTCGTTTCAAATAAATCATTGTGACGTTTAGATTCATTTTGTACAAATTGTTTAATTTCTTGATTAGATTTATTAATAAATCTGTGCGTTTGTTCCAATATTGTGCGCATTTGTTTTGTTGAATTCTGTTCAACACTTAATAATAATCGTACTTTTTCCATTCTAGTACGACATATATTCTGATATTTTAATTTATCACTTTTAAGTTTTTTAATTGTATTTCGATGTTCATCCAATTCTTTTTTCCGTAACTGTTCAATTGTTTCCAATTGTTTTTCATATTCTGTTGAATCAGAATTTTTCATCTGTAAACATTTTATCTGTCTTTCAGAATCTTCATTCATTTTTTTAATTGAATCCATTTCTAATTGTAATTGTTGTAATCTATTCATTAATTCGGTTTTTTCATTGGTCATTACCGATAATGAATCCGATGTTTTCGTAGTCATATCGAGTATTATTTTTTGATTTGAATCACATTCTTTTTGTAATTTTTGGCACAATTTTTCTTGTTGCATTTTTTCATTCGATATTTTTTCCAATTGATCTACATAACGTTGCATTTCAAAACGAAAATTTTCATTTTCTTTTCTTAATCGATTCATTTCATCATCTTTATTTACTGTTCGATCTTTGTATGCATTTAGATTTTCTAATAAAGTTTTTTCTCGTTGAAATGCTTCATTCAATTGTGTAACAAGTAATTGTTTTTCTTGTTGAAAATCTCTATCCATACGATTGATTTGTTCGTCTTTTTTTGACAATGAATCTCGTAATAATGAAAGTTCATTCAATAGTAAATCTTTTGTCTCTTCCAATGCTTTTTGTTGTCGTTGTAGTAGATCAAATTCTTCCGTTGAAAACATTTTGTCCGTATCAGTCTGACGATTATTTGCACTGTTATTATTATTATTGAAAGCAGATTTCAATACTTGTGAAAATGAATCAGTCAATTGTTTTGTAGTTGATTGATCTAATTGTGCGATTAATGGTTCATCTGATTTATTTGACTTTTTTTTATTATGATATTTATCCACATGTTGATTTAATTCATATTCATTTGTAAAACGCATTCGACAATGATTACAATTAACAAATGAAAGATTTTGATCACCAAATGTTGATGAATGTTCAGAACTAAAATGTTCAGTTAATATTTCAGCATTTGGAAATGCAGCAAAACATTGTGGACAAAGAAAACCTTCAGCTTCATTTGTCGATGGTGATGATGATAATTCATTATCATTTGTTGATGATGCTAAACTTGATCGTCTTTCCTATATTTTTTTTGAAAACCATATGGAAAAAAATGGGCGTTCTGAACAAACAAATTATGAAATTTTAAATAAATAAATACCTTTTCATCTGATGATGGATTTATTAGATCAACATCGGATGAATTGATTGAACTGTTTGCATTATTCAATACTGAATTTATTAATTGTTCACCTGTACGATTAATTCCACTAAATAAACTTTTAAATTTATTTGTATTTTTTGCCATTTTCCAAAATAAATTTTTTATATATCGTTTTAGGACTATCGAATCATGTTCGCCGACCGATCTATCGATTCGATTGATGTGATTATATTTTATGTTTTTTTGTTAAAAAAAAAATAAAGAAATCAAATTAAAAATGAAAGATGAAAATCCCATTGATGATGATGATGACTCGGTCAATTGTTTTGTTTTTGTTTTTCACAATGTTTTTTTTAAAATATCGATTGTATCGCGATAGTTTAACAGAAAAATATTCTCGAACCAAATGAAAAAAAAATCGAATTTGAGCTATCAAAATTGATAATCAAATCAATCAATTTTAACAAAACAAAATTGGAAAATTTTTTTAAAAACATTCTTTGAATATCCCTTTTTTTGGAAAAAAAATTTCCAAAATAAGAAAAAAGAAAAGAAAAACATTTTTCCTTTTGAAATCTAATTCAGCAGAATTTCGATTTTTTTTCTCGAGCATGTGCCATTTCGAGCTTGTGATCAAATATCCATGAATCCGAAATAAATGAAAGGATTAGAATGGATGACCATATTGTATTACATACACGTACATATAATGACAATACAATTCTGAATGTTAAAAGAATTTGACATTGAAAACCAAGTGAAAAAGAAAAAGAAAAAGAAAAAACACCGAATTCCATTCGTAACTATAAACTAATTACAGATTTAAAATTACTTTACTTTTCTCTTTTCTTTTTTTCTTATTACTATCATTATAATTATTACAATTTGAAGGATAATAATATTAATTGATGTGTAATCTGTGTTTTCACTGATTTTCATTAAATAATTATTTTCCATTGATTTCATTAGTTTCATTTGAAATAACAACAACAACAACAAAAGAATTGATCCAAATTATAAACCTGGAAAGAAAAGAATATGGGAAAAAAGAAAAATAAGGGCAGTAAGTCGCTATCATCATCGTGATCATCGGGTGATATTTACCGAAGTTATTGATGATACTGCTGCAACCGAAAAAAAAGCAGCAGCATCATCATCAGTTAATTGTAATTCCCGTACACGATTTTCATATATTGAATTCTATGATAATAATGATAATATAGACTTATACAATGATAGAAATTTCTAGAATATTAAGATTATAAGTAAACTTCTATAGAAGTAAACTTTTTTTTTTTATTAAAAAAAAGGATTCGGCGTAATTCTATGTTGTAGTCGTTATATTTCGCGCATCATCATCATCGTTGATATTCTATTATGTTTTTTTTTCTTCATTACAATATAAAGAATAACTGAAGAATTCATTTAAAATTATGTCATGCGCAAATCATCATCATCATCAGAAGAATAATAAGAAAAAAAAAATATATACGGTAATTTTGTCGAACGACCCATATATAAATAACCCGTATAAATATATCACCAATAACAACAACAACAATAACGTCAACAACAACAACAACAACAACAACAACAACAACAACAACAATTTTTTAATAATAATATTGACATGAATTTGATGATGACGACATTTATTCATCATCATCATTATTATTATTATTATCATTATGATGATGATGATCGACAATATCAATGATTGTTGTTTTTCTTTTCGTTTGTCATTTTGCTTTGAATTGAATTGAATTGAATGAATTGAAGACGCGGCAATGACGAATTTATTTTTTCAATTTTAATTACGTTTTTGTATTTTGTATTTTGTATTTTGTCATTCTCACTGTATCCTGATATATTTAAATAATCAAAATTGAATTTCTGTCTTTTTGTTTTGATTTCCATTTCCAAAAACAAAATGTTTTTCATTTGAATGAATTTGTTTTGAATTTACAGAAAGAAAAAAATCAAATCAAATTATTGAACAGAAAAGGAGACACAAGTCAAGTTTTGTTTTGTTTTGTTTAATTTGAAAAATTAGATCATCATCATAATAATAATGATGATTTTGATTATCGAATTGATCAACATTGATAATGTTCATTGAGCTCATTAATATTATGTGATTCAGGCAAAATAAAACGATTCATCTAATGATCATCATCATCATATATCGATGATCAAACTAACAGTGTTTTAATTGTTTTTGTCAATTTTTGTTGTTGTTGTTCATGTTGTAATTATTAAACCAGAAAAAAAAAGAAAATTACATTTGTAAAAAAATTCCAATTGTTTTTGTTTGACCTTTTTTTTTTATCCAATTTTACTTTTATCATTATTATTATGTTTTTTTTTTGTTATTTTTTCCTGTGAATTTTAATGTTATTTTTATTATGTTATTTTCAATTCAACCAATTCATCAACAAACAAAAAATTGTAATAAAAATCAAATAGAATAGATTGCATCAAATCACCATTAACCAATCAATCAATCAATCCGATTGTCATCGATAATAAATATTCAAAGCAATTGAAACACACACACACACACACACATAATGATCATCATTAATATTTGAAGCAAACAAACAAACATAAAAAAAATTAATGGCAATAAATTTTATGAATTATCATTACAAATTTCGAAAATATTACAATTACAATAATTGAAGAAGAAGAAACTAAGAAAAAAAAACAGATTTCGAAATTTTATTTTTATCAATCAAAAATTTGAAGATTTTTTTTTCAGTTTTCTGTTTCAAAAAAGTTCAATATTAAATTACCCTGCATGTACCCGTTGTTAATAAAAATCGAAGGTCATCAGCCACCACCATCGCCACCAGCACCATCATCACCTCCACCGTCACCACCACCACCTCCATCATCATTATCATCGGGTGATAGAAGGTTATCAAAGGCCTTTAACATCATATTTTCCTTTTTTCCTTCCTATTCATCATCATCATCATCATCATCATTATTATCATCGCTATATCGATTTAATCATCCATTACATTATTATTGGTCATATAATCAATCAATTGATGTACCATTTTTATTGAATCTAAAAATTTCAATTCGTAAAAGATCAAAAAAGAAAACTAATCACGGTAGTGATAAAAGTACAACAACTGTACCGGCTATTCATGAACTAAAACATAGCTGAAAACGATATTCATTTATTCATTCATTCATTCATTCATTTTTGGATTCAACGTTTGAAAAAGTATTTGCAAATATAAAATCTTCTTCTTCTTCGAAAAAAAATCAGTGTTCATCATCAATTTGATCTTTCCTTGTCTTTCTAACTTCTTCATCATTATCTTGTCGAAAAACAAAAATCAATTAATCGATGAAATTAGCCAAAAAACAAAACAAATATCCTGCCTTCATTGATGGTAAGTGATTTGCTATTCGAAAAACAATAATTCAAAACCAAAAACACTTTAAATCAAATCAAATCATTGATTGATTGAATAATTAATGAACTTTGTCATTTTTTTTGAGAATTTCGAAGTTAAATTCAAATTTACTATTTAAATTAGGGATAGATTTTCATTTTCAAATTGCAGATTGCATTTTTTGTTTCTCTCTCTCTCTCTCTCTCTCTCTCTCTCTCTCTCTTTCTCTCTTTTTTTCTCTTTTTTTTTTTTTTTTTTTTTNATTATTATTATTATTATTGGTCATATAATCAATCAATCGATATACCATTTTTATTGAATATAAAAATTTCAATTCGTAAAAGATCAAAAAAGAAAACTAATCACGGTAGTGATAAAAGTACAACAACTGTACCGGCTATTCATGAACTTAAACATAGCTGAAAACGATATTCATTTATTCATTCATTTTTGGATTCAACCAAAAGTATTTGCAAATAAATAAATAAATAAAATCTTCTTCTTCTTCTTCGAAAAAAATCAGTGTTCATCTTTCCTTGTCTTTCTACTTCTTCATCATCATTATCTTGTTGAAAACTAAAATCAATTTGTCGATGAAATTAGCCAAAAACAAAACAAATATCCTGCCTTCACTGATGGTAAGTGATTTGCTATTCGAAAAACAATAATTACGAAACCAAAAACACTTTAAATCAAATCATATTGATTGATTGATTGATTGAATAATTAATGAACTTTGTCATTTTTTTTTTGGTTGAGAATTTCGAAATTGAATTCAAATTTACTATTTAAATTAGGGATAAATTTTCATTTTCAAATTACAGATTAATATTTTTTTCGGTTGTATACATCCCGATATAGTCGAAATAGTGTTTTTTTTTTTGGTTAATCAAATGATCATTTTTTGTTTCTCTCTCTCTCTCTCTCTCATCATTTTGTTTTGACCTTTGATTTGTTCTAGTTTGAATCATATTTCCTAAAAAATTTCATCATTTGCACTATTCTTTGTCTGAGTGTGTTTGTGTGTGGAAACAAAAACCAACCAAATAGAAGAACAAAATTTGAACAAAATTTCTCAATGTGACCGCATATTTGGTCTATGTGTGTGTGTGTGTGGTAAGTGTTTATATGATTGATGAAAATTTAAATGAAAAAAAAAGAAAAAAATCACTTGTTGACTGCCTGAATCGATTGATTGATTGATTGAAGTCTGTCATTTGTTTCTACAATTGATATCTTATCCAAAAAGAAAAAAATTTCTTTCCCTCTTCTTTTGCAATACCCAAGAAGAAGAAGAAAGAAAAAATCTTCAAGAAAATCATCAATTCGATTTGGTTATGATGATGAAGAACACAGTAGCTTTTTATAATGATCGATGGACGATGATGAAATTTTGTAAAACGAGCGGAAAAAAAATTATCAATTTTTTTTCTGCTTTTCTTTGCAAACAGGATTACTGTATCCCACTGAATATTACTGTATTGTATTACTACAAAGGGATATCGAATCATATTTTGGCTAGCTGTTTATTTCGTTTACACACACTTTGAAAATCTATTTAAACAATATTTTTTTTCCCAATTATAATCATATATATCAAAATTAGATGGAATGATCTGAAAAACTTACACACACACATACAAATTGACTGCTTATTTTTGATTATAATCAAATTTTTATTCATTAAATTTCAACACGATTATTGATCCCTTTCGGATGATTAATGTTATTATTATATCATCATAAAAGTATAAAAAGATTCATAATTAAAGTCAATCATTTTATTTTTTCCCATTGAATAATAATTGCAAAAAAAAAGAAAAATTTTCTTATATTTCAATCAATTTATTCAGATGACCAATCTGTCTGTCTTTTAACTGATTTTTTTCTTTCTTTTCTTCAATATTTTCTAGCATTTGAAAATCACCAAACTCATCAAAAACTCACAAAGAGATTTTTTTTTTTCGTTGTTGATGTTGATATAAATTGAATGATAAATCAATTGATTATTGTTGTTTTTTGATTGGCAAAATCTTTCCTTAGGAAAAAAAGGTAAGTAAAATCCAGCCATTATCATTATCATCTTTGATGTTTCTTCTTCTATTTTAATGATACAATTTTTTTTCTTCTCTTCCTAAAGGCATCTTATTATTATTATTATTAATAATTTCTTCCTAAACACAAAACAGAAAAAAACAAAATATTTTTCATTCCATTACTCTATTGATGATTATTATTTTCATTACAAATTTTTATAAATTTGTTATTAATTTGATTGAAAAAATAATAATATTTTTTCTTTGTTTTCAAATTTCTTTTTTCTTCTGTTGTTTCCAATTGTTGTGTTTTTAAAAAACAAGCTTCTTTTTTTTTGTTGCTGGCTCAATATTGATTTATAAATTGTTTTTGAGAGTAAAGAAAATAATTATTTTGTCTCTCCACTTATGAACTTTTAAAACAAAACAAAACAAAAAAATTCACAAAATCAAACGATCGAAAATTGCGATAATATTATTGACACATTCGTATAGCCAAATCAAGCTTGTTGAAAAATTGTTTTTGTTAATATTTTTTTTGAAAAGAAAGAATCTATATATATTTTGTTTGTTAAATACACACACACACACAAAAACTAGAAAACAAAAAAAAAACAAAACTAGAAAAAAGATGTATAAAGTTGATTTAAATGATACAATGGATAGCGATAGCTATCAATTATCACCAGATTCATCACCATATCAATCATTCAATGATGATACTGATTCAACACAATCACCTGAAATTATATTTTCAACATCATCGGATGAAAATTCTGTTATTGATGAAAATATTGATAATAAAATGATAACATTAACAATTGATGGTGAAATTGCTGGTATTGTTGCCGGTGGTGGTAATGATATTGATAATCATGGCAATCAAAATGTTGTATTGGCTAATAATAATTCCGGTACAAATATCTCGGCATCAACTAGTAATAATGGTGGCAGTGATAATGGTGGTGGACATTTTTTTGAAGGTGCCGAAAAACGTTTAGCCATTTATTTTAAAGAAGATTCATCGAATAAAGTTCTTGATCTACGTAAATTAACCAGGTAAGTTAATTTTTCTGTAAATTTCTTAATTGCTTTGCTTCTGATTTTGTTGTTTTTTTTTGTTTTAAATTGGAAATCAATTAATTTTCTCTATTTCCCTTTTTTTTGCACTGATTGGCTTTATTTTACGCAAAATGATAATAATAATAATGCTAGATCTCAATGGAAAAACATACTTGATCTTGTTCATTGTCAAATATTGAATATAAAAAGCAATGAACATTTTGATGCATATTTACTAAGTGAAAGTTCATTATTTGTAAGTAAACGTAGCTTCATATTGAAAACATGCGGCTCGACTACTTTGCTTCATTGTTTGGATTTAATTTTGGAATATGTTTATAAAATTGGTTTCGATACTATTGAGGTTTGTTTAATGTTTTTTTTTAAATTATTATTATTATATTTAGATAATAAACATTCAATTTTTAAATTTATTTTAACGATAATTTTTTGTTCAATAAATAGGATGTATTCTATTCACATAAAAATCTATTGCTACCATCATTACAAAGATTACCACATAATTCATTTTTAAAAGAAAGTGAATATTTGGATAAAGCATTTAATGGCCATTCACATTTATTTGGCCATATTAATGCTGATCGTTGGTATCTTTATCTATTGGATTATCGTCCTGAATTAGATTGTAATGATGATCAACAACAACAACAACAACAACATCCAAATCAATTAATAAATCGTAATGAATTTTTTAAATTTGAAATGATTATGGAAGAATTAGATGAAGATGTTATGCAATTATTTTTTAATGATCCGGACATGCCGATTACTGCAGCTCAGGTAACAAGAAAATCTGGTATTGACAGTATTATTCCCGGTATGGTTATCGATGATTATCTTTTTTCACCATGTGGTTATTCAATGAATGGTCTACTTTCGGTATGTTTTTTTTCAATATTTTACATTGTGGTTTGTTTTTCTGAATACCAATCAAAATTATCAATTTATTTATATCATATAAATAAATAGGAATATTATATGACAATACATATTACACCGGAACAAGAATTTTCATATGTTTCAGTTGAAATGAATGTACCACAAAAAAGCTATATATCATTTATGGCCAAAGTGATTGATGTTTTTAAACCTGGAAAATTTATGCTCAATTTGTTTGTGCCTAGTATCAATAATTTACGTTCAAAACAACAACAATTCAATGATTCAATGATGATCATGGATGATGGTATTGGTATTGGTTTGGGTAAAAATTATGTTAATGTTGGTAATGATCGACAAAAAATAAAATCATCAAATCAATGTTTATTTGAAACAATGCAAATGCATGGATTAGTTATGTATGAAGCATTATCATGTGTAGCAATTGGACAATATCGTCGTTGTGATTTTCAAATGGCTCAAACTGAACATTTGGATATTATCTATGCTCGATTTGTAAGCGAAGGTATTAGCTGAAGCTTACTGCAATGGTATATTTGTGCATTTTTTTGTGGCTAGCGTTTGCCTCCTTTCCTTTAGTTTTTTTTTAAATCACAGCTATTTTTATTTTATTCTCTCTCTCTCTCTCTCTTGCTCTCTCTCACACACTCATTCATTCATTCATTTATTCACTTACTTTTAACAATTTAATCCAGAAAAATTTAATTAACTTCATAATTCGGTAACATTTTTTTTTGCTTTTCTTAATCAATTATCTCGGTGGATGTGGTTTTTCTTTTTTTTTTCTTCCAATTATCCACTGCCAATACCTTTTTTTCTGAACAAAAAAGTGTTTGGCAATAATCAATATATTTTTGAATTATCGATAATAAGTGTGTGCGCTCAACAACAATTCTTTTCTCTGTGATCAGCATGATCAAAGAATTTGCTATTTTCGTTTTTATTTCTTCATTTTGTTTGTTTGTTGTGCTTTTTTTTTCTCTCTCATAAGAATAACATAGATGCGCTAATCATTTTCATCGAAAAAAAAACAAAACAAAAACATTCAATCATAATCATAATCTTTATTGTTTTCTTGATTGCATAATTTGATCGCACTAAACAAAAATCCTATCCATTTCGATTTTTGATTTTTGTTTTGTTTTGTTGTTAGTTTTCCTCTCTAAGATAGTAATTCGTTTTTTTTTCTTCACATTTAAACATTATGATGAAATTTCCGGTTGTGTTTTTAATCGGTTTCATTTCGTTTTTTCTTTCTTCTCACTCAAAACACACGCATCATAATTTTATCAACAAACATTGATCAGCTTTTCTTCGGTTGTTGTTGGCTACAAAAAAAAATTAAATAAATAAACAACCGAATGGAAATAGCCATCATCATCATCATCATTAAGACTTTGAACTTTTGTTTTTCATTTCAATTTTTTTTTTGATTTTTGATCTTTTAGCTCATATGGTTTTTTTTTGTTTTCTGATATGTCTGATGATTTCATTCATTACATTTTTTTCTGTTTCATTTCTTTTCCCTCACAGTTTCAATGCAATAACAGCCAAGTTTTTTTTCCATTTCATTTAACTTTGGAATTTAAACCATTCATTCATTAATAATAATAATAATGATTCGAATCGATCAACCTTTGATCGATTGATTAACAATGATCAATAATTAATGTTGAACATTGATTTTTTTAGATTGTTGCTAGGTCATAAAAAACAAACATCAAACATCAAATATCAAATACACAAACACACACGAAAAAAAATTTCATCTGAAAAATTGAGAGTAAGAGAAATCAAAAATCAAATATCAAACATCAAACATCAAATCAAAAATGCTGTGATTTAAATTATATATTGGAAAGGAGGTGAATCGCTATTGTGTGCACACAAAAAAAAATTTGTTGTAAACGCACACCTACATCCATACACCACCCACATCCACCACCCGCACCATATTTCCAATCATCAATCAATATTCAATCAACAAAATCTGTCTGTCTGCTTTTTTCATCAAAATTCACAAACAAAATTTTCACAAAAAAAAACACAAAGACAATATATAATTTTTAATATAAATGGATTTAATTTTTAAAAATTTGTTTTCCGATTACAAAAAAAAATATTATAATAATAATTAATAAATGTTATCCATAATAATAATAATAATAATAAAATTTTCTTTTTCAACAAATTTTGTTTTTTTTTTGTTTAAACTTTACCAATTTGTTTGGCAATATTTATAACATTATATGCTTGTTTTAATAAAGGCATATCAATCATTTGACCATGATAAACAAATGCACCACGACCATCTTGTTGGGCTTGTTCAAATTCTTTAATTAAACCTTTAGCCCATTCAATTTTTTTATCTGATGGTCGATATGTTTCTTGTATTATTGGAATTTGATCTGGATGTATACATTGTTTACCGGTAAAACCCATTGATACACCTTCTTCGGATTGTCGTTTTAATCCATCAAGATCACGAAAATTAATATAAACAGAATCGATTGCTTGTAAATTTAATGATTTACAAACAAGTATCACATGTTGTCTTGCCATTAGTACTTCTTTACCTTCATCGGATCGTGTTGCACCGATATTAGCACAAAAATCATCCGATCCAAATACGATACCGGCAAAATGCATATTGTTCAATGTTTTACACATATCGATCGTATGTTTAGCAATATCACGTAAATCTAACAGACCGATAGCTGATTCAACATATGTAATCAAATCGATTGGATGTTTTAATCGTTCATTAATTTTGGATTTTTTAAAATATTCAATAAAATCATCGATATTTGTTTTGGTATCAACTTTTGGTAATAGAATTGTACGTGGAATGATTTTACCAGAAAATATTATTTCTAAATCTTCATAGGCAATACCAGAATCCATTGAATTAATACGAACACTTAATTTTTTCCATAATAATTCATTTGATCCATATTGATTTAATATATTTAATATTGTTTTTCTTGCATCATCCTTTAATAAATTGATTTTTTTTATCATCATTATTATTATTAGATAATTATTATTATTTAATAAAAATAAAAATACATACTTTACTTTTTACAGCAACACCATCTTCACAATCCAAAACAATTGAATCAATTTTTTCAAATGATTTTATTGCTTTATCAATTTTACGTTGATCATTACCTGGAACATAAAGTATTGCACGTCGTAATAATGTTTGTGATAATGAATTTAAATCGATCGATGATGATGATGATGATGATTGCGATCGAATTATCGATCGATTCAAAAAATTTTTCATTAAAAATGTGGATAAAAACGATATTCTTGATCGAATCATTTTTTGTTTTTCTCTTGTTGAAAAATTCTTTTTCACCAAAAATAAAAATCATATGATTTTGTTCCGTCAAAAAATATTCATCAAAATCGAATAAACAAAACAAAAAATCATTCGTTTCTTAGTCGTCAGATGGCGATCTAATGCCAAAATTGGATTTTTTTCAAAAAAAATAGGAACCAAGTTTTATTGCAAAAAAAAATTAATCAAATTTTATTTATACCGTATATCATTTCGAAGCAATAAACAAGAGAAAATAAAACGAGTAAAATATAGACATAGAGAAAAATTTGTGTTCAACAAAAATTGAATATTGTGAATCATCATCATCATCCATAATAATAATCAAAATAAAAATCAATAATAATAGATCATCATTGAATCAGACAGATTTTTCACAACAAAAAAACAACAACAACAACGACAATATTATGATGATAATAACAGAACAGAAACAGCAGCAACAATAACGGAAGAACCAAGAAAAAAAAATCAATTACAGGGCAAAATTTGATAATTAATAAAAAACAAAATGTTAATGATTAAATCATCATCATTCATCAATAATATTTGATTACAATAATTGATTGATTGATTGAAAATAAATCTTAATTATATAGTATTATTATTATTATTACATCAACATTATAGATTATAATTCGTTTTAGAATAATAATTATTCAAATTTTATTTTTTTCTGAAAAAAAATGAACAAAATTAAAATTTTCTCCCTTCCTGCTTCGGTGGGGTTAAATTAATGAAATTAGATTTTGAAAAAAAAAGAAAAAAAAATTGAATAACATGGCAGGCAATAGATATGGACCGACAATTTGTTATTAGCAACAACAAAATAGGGGAAAAAGTTATTATTGCTTAAAGATGTTTTTTTTTTGTGTGTGGGTGGGTGAATGTATGAACCGTGAAAAAAAAGATGATCGATGGCAAAAAAAAAATTTTGAAGGAAAAAAATTGTTTCTTATTTCGGTTTCTTATATATATAGGGTTTGGTATGAATGTCAATTGAATCAATCAATTTTTTTATGTGTCTTTGGCTTTGGCTTGATAAGAGCTAAAACTTTTTCTTTTAACTTGAGAAATGAAAAAAAAATGAAACTTCTTTGGTTTGGTTTGGTTTGGTTTCAACATCATCAATAAGAAAAATATAGGATTGGTCGAATGATGATAAAAAAAAATTTTATGCTTGTAAAACGTTATATATAGAGTGTGTGTGTGTTTTGATCAAGTTAATTTACAACAAATTTAATTTAATTTAATTTAATTTTTCGTTAATGAAATAACAAAATTTATTCGTTTGATAAATTTTTTAATTTTGTTGTCGATGATGATATTGTTATTGTTGAATGAAATGAATTTTTTATTGTTTGATTTTTATTATTATTTGTTGTTGTTGTTCTCGTTGTTGTTGTTGTTGTTGTTGTTGCGGTCATTGTCATTAATTTAAATAATGATAAACGATCTATTAGGCTTTTTTGGTGTATAAAATTTAACATCATAACACGTATTGTTGTCATAAATTCTAATACAAACAAACAAATTGTTGACCATTGAGCTGTTAATATTGATTCTGTTTGTTTTTCATTATTCTGATTATTATTATTATTCATAATTATTGATGTTAGGCCATATTTTTCATTTAAATTATTTTGATTATATAATGATTGTTGATCAATAGTATCAATTGATTGATGATTATTTAAATAATAATTATAATTATCATTATCATTGTTAACACCATTGATCCATTCAAATTTTGATAATTTTTTTGATAAAGGCAATTGTTGTTGTTGTTGTTGATAAAAATAATTATTATTTTGTTGATTATAATCATATTGATTTTTATTATTCTGATCATTTGATTCTTTATTCCATTCATTTATTGTATTTGGCCATTTTTTCTGTTGTTGTTGTTGTTGATTATGATAATGATGATGATACGGAAGCTCTTTCATCAATAACTGCCATTCATTATCATTATCATTATTAGAAGAAGAAGAAGATGATGATGAAGAAGGATTAATAGCAATAACAGTATGATCATCGTGTTGATTATTGAAAATGTTTTGATTGTTGAAAATATTATAATTATTATTATTTTTATAATAATAAAAATCATCAATAGCTGTTGACATTGCTGATGATGATGATTGTTGTGTTGGATTACTACCAGTACCTTCATAACTATAACTATTACTAAATGTTGGTTTACGTTGTCCACATCCAATATGATTTGGATGTGATGATGTATTTGTCAATAATGATGTTGATGATGATGGAGGTGGTGGTGGTGGTGGTGGACCACGATTATGATGATGATGATGTCTATGATGTTGATGATGATTACATTCTAATCTTGTTTGATTTGGTGTATGATTATATTGTACAATTCTTGGTGATGTAATTGAACCAGAACGAAATCTTGATGATCGTCGACAACAAGAAAAACAACAACAAATCATACAACACCAATTATTTTGCCAATCACCAGTTTCATCATCATGACAGGAACTATTCGAACAAACACAAAGGCCAAAAAAACCAATAATAAATAATATTAATAATGAACCCATTATTGTTAATGATTGCCATCCAAATATTGTATCCCAAACACATTTCCTTCGTACACGACGAAATGAATATGGTGCAACACCTAATGGATCTTTATCAATTCTAACCCATTTTAATGAGATTTGTACTTCACCAGCATAACGACGTTTATTCTGATTATAATGCACATCACGAAGTGTTTTACCTATTATTTTTTTTTTGTACAAAATCAAATAAATTGATTAATAATTATCAATTTTTTCTGGTTAAAACAATAGAATAAAATACTTACTCCAAATATGATTACATTCATATGATTGTGGATTGCCAAATGTTCCAAGATCAAATGATACACTTAGATTTGTACAAATATCATTATCTCTCATCTGATATCGATTATTAATCGAATCTTTATCAATAATTTGAAGGCACTCAATATAAGCTACATGAAATTCAATCACAGAACCAACCACATGAAAACCGGCACTCAATAATCGATTACTACGTTCAATCATTGTTCGACTAGATAATGCTTCCGTTGCCGATGATGATAATAATAAAGGCAATGATGATGATGGTAACATTGTTTTTGTTGATGATGATGATGATGATGATAATCGAAGTTTCTTTATTTCTTGACTATTAACATTAAAATCATTTGATTTTGAATCATCATTATCATTTTGGCCCGTATAATCCATTCCTAAAAGATCGACTGATAATGGTTCAGGCTTTTGTTGTTGTATATCATCAACATCAAAACCTTCAGCCGATGCACTACTACTGGCTAAATTGATAAAATTATCTGTATCATCATCATCGTCATCGTCAAGAAAATCATCATCAATTATTTCTGCACCGCCACCACCACCATCATCATCATCATTATCATTATTATTATTATTATCAGTATTATTATTATCATCTGTTTCCAAAACAATCTCTTTTTCATCATGTTGTGAAAATTTCCAAAATATATTACGTGAATTTCTTTCACAATTGGCACGTCTTCCAAGTGATTCTTCGGGTGAAACTGAAAATATACCACCACGAAATGTTGTATTAGCTGGTCGTATACGTATTATACCAGAAAATGCAGCTAATAAACAAACAGAATTATCATGAAATCTATCATTAATCCAATAATTTGGATTTGCTGTCCATGGTTCAAGATAATGTTGCCATATACTATTATTATAAATATTTTTTCCTAAAAAACCACCATTAATAATATTACTTCGTTTTCTACCGAAAAGACTATTTCGTTTATTACGATCCATTGTTGAAAATGAAACAGTTGATGATAATGATGACCATGTTGGCCACCAATGATTTTCATTATTTTCATAATCATTATTATCATCAATATCATCACCATTATTATTATCATCATCATCATTATTATGATGATTATTGAAATCATATTCATTAACATTAGGCGTTACTATCACTTGTTGTTGTTGTTGTTGTTGATCATTCTTATTATTTAATTTAAATATGGAAGATTTTGATGATAATGAAGATGATGTAGATTTTGTTGTAAATATGATCGATGTCAAAGTTTGATTGTCAGATGATGATGATGATGATGATAATTGAGATATTTGTGGTAATAATAATTTTGGATTTATTGTTGATGATTTATTAATAGCAAGAATATTTGTTTGTTTATTGTTGGCAGTCAATATTGTTGTTGTTGGTATGATCGATGTTGTTGTTGTTGTTGTTGTTGTTGTCACCGTTTTTGTTGTTGTTGTTATCGTTGTATGTGTATAAGATGATGGCGTCAAAATGCCAATCATAATAATCAAGGCCATATACAATGATGATGATGATGATGATGATAACGATGATGGCCATTCAAAAAATCGATAATGTTTATTACTTTTATCATTAACATTATTTCTCACTGATGATGATGATGATGGCACAAAAATTATTACAGATAAATCATTTTGTCCAATCGATAGGGTTGATGTCCTCTTTTTTTTTCTTTTTGCCGTTGTTGTTGTTGTTGTCTTCCTCGTCTTTGTCGTTGCCCTTGTTGTTGTTGTTTTAGTTGTTCGATTCGCTGATGATGAACACATCGCGTTTGTTCAAGTGATGACGATGATGATGATCCAAAAGAATTTCCAGAATTCATCAGAATAGAATGTTATTTTTAGTTTGTTTTTCGTTATTATTATTATTGTTGTTGTTTTGATTTCCGCATAGTTATTGAAAATGAATTTTTTTTTTCGTTGGTTGTTGTTGTAATTGTTATAGCTTGTTTTATAATTGATTGATTGATTGATTGATCGATTGTTTTAATTGATTTTTTTTTTCTTTGGTTCGCTTGAATGATGAAAATAATCAAATAATTAATTCAATTTTGATTGATACAAAATATTTGTCCTTTCTGCTGTTGTTGAAAACAACAAAAAAAAACAAATAAAAAAAAGAGAAAAATTAATTAATAATTTGGCAGCTAATTTGTCAATCAATATTTGATTATTATGCTTTTTTTGGTTTTTTCGCATTTCAA